GCTCCATTATGTTTATCTATGTTCACGTGTCTTATGTATACAGGTTGGCGCGATCACGTGATGGCCACGGTGTACGGTGCTCTGCTGCTCACCAGAAGGTTATGAGTTCGATCCAAACCACGGCGGTCGCATTTCGACGGAGGCGATATGGTAGAGCCTGGTGTACTGTTGGTGCACATTAGAGAACACCGCATTGTCGGTTTCCGCAGCCCTTCACTGCGGCATCTCCTATAATCATATCGTGGTTTTGTGGCGTCCAGGTATTGTTGTACTGTTACGTTTCAGTTAGGGTTCTTATATTTGAATTAAGGCGTTTGAATTATATGGTTTGGATTAAGGTGTTATGTTACGTTTGTATAGGTGCTGTGTGTACATAGAGACATGCCAAATAGGAAAAAAACCTGAAGGGGTCACTTTACCATTCCACTGGCTGCGCCAGTGCCAGCCAGGTACAAAAGCGAACAGGTAAAAAGAACGCAGATGAGGAAGTTTAGCTTCTCGCAGACGAAAAAAGATTCCGGTGAGACACATACTGTGCAACTCCGTCGCCCTTGCGTAACTTCTAACTGCTCTAAACAGTTTACAAATACTACCTAGGTGCCGCGCTCTTGTTTTGTTTTTCCGCGGAACTTTAAGACAAATTTTTATGAGGTGCATTCGCTGTGCATTCATACTTGAAGCAGTTTAGACGACGTGAACATCACCAAAAATACCACAGAACAAGGGGCTCAACTATGTGGTCCTGTGGGTACCATTGTCTTCTGCACCCGTCCTTTGGCGCTGGTTTACTTATGAATGCTCACCAATTTAAAGTGTGCTAGCTGAGTCAAGTTCTGGTGCATAATTTAAATTTAGTACTGGCCAACAAAAGCCTATCCTGTGCGTGTTTTGTTCGCCAGTACAACGTTTTGCAGTCTTGTCCAACCCGCCCAGTCTTAATCCTCTACAGCGTTGAGTTTACGGAGAAAAAACAAAGGAAGGAGCATGACGTCACGTCCGCCAGCCCTCCGCAAGCCAACCCGTTTTGTAGCCACCAGTGTCGGCCAAACTCGTGACCTTTTTGCGTCAAAATCACGTAAGCAGCGAGACTTCCCGAGACTGAGGAGTATGCACCCGGTAGCGTTTAATCAAAACGTGCTTGTGCAGCGCAGACCGGTCGGCCCACGCAGGGGGTTCTGAAACGGAACGCCACCGAGAGTACTAAAACCTACCGCAATCTCTGACGTTTTGATCACGTGGTTCAGCCAACATGATGGGCATCACTCTTGTGACGTAATACTCGCTCTCTTTCTTCTTCATATATGGTTGTTTGTATGTGCACAGCTTGCATGCAACGTCATAAAACGAAAACATGGTGGCCTAAATGGTGTCAAGGCGGTATATTCTGGGGTCGATTCCCTGCATCAGTGCAATAACGACGTCGCTGGAAGGTTATAGTGTGTCTCTGTGTCTGAATAGCGATATAACCAGTATGCAGTGTACTGATAAGTTTAACACTAACGTGACATCACAACGTTCGCGTCTCACCGTGTTGGTGTTCCAACGTGGCTGTTACCATCACGGTAGGTGCAGGCCAGGGTTCTATGCAATTTTTTTTTTTGGGGGGGGGGGGGGGTGTTGCACGTATTTGATATAAAGTGGGGGCCAGGCAGGCGAATGGTCATTTGCGCTATGTTATGCATGGTGGGAAACAATACGGGGGGGGGGGGGGCACTTGCCTTGAGTGCTACCCCTGGCATAGGCTATCTATAAGCACGTGCAAAATTGAAAAGTTTCTAGAAAAAAAAAGGAAACTCTGCACCCACCCCCCCCGCCCCTTTTTCTGGCTGCGGCAATAGCTGAATGCCTCTATATATCACTGACATGATGTGGCCGCAAATAATACACACACAAAGTAAAGAACTTTACTTTGTGTGTGTATTAGTTGCGGCCAATCATGTCAGTAAGCAAGTACCAACTAGCTAACAATCAGTATTGTAACAGTATTCTCTATATATCAGCTGAGGTTACTCACGCGCGCCTTTTGGAGAGGAGTAACCGGACGGCGTCGAGGTAGTCGGGGCCAACGTAGTAGTCTTCCTCGAGCAGCGGATGGGGCCCTCGTGGTTGGCGTCCACGTTAAGGCTCTCCATTACGACGTTGACTGTGCGTTGTCGTCACATGTAGCCGGATTGATTGCGTTGCAGGGTGGTATCGTAATATCATTGAAATTTGGGGCGATTTCTCAGTTAGGCCGAAGGCAATCGTGCGAGCGGATTATATACATATTCATCACGGGCGTAGCGCAAGAACATTAAAAAAAACGCGCAGACCAGGTGCTAACCCTGTGTTGTTCTCCTTTTCAGCACCCGTCTTTTGTGGTTCCTCTTTTCCGTCTACGTTTATTGCGCCCATTTACAAGGTCGTCCTTGTCTAAGAACATCTTATTAGAATTCAGACAGCGTATAGACTGATGTTTTTAACACACCATTCGGAAATGTATTATTGCGTGTACCGACACCATACGTTGATGTCATATAAGGGACCTTCCCCTCGTCAAGCTGAATAAGTGTTGTAGTGTTAAGCGATTGGATACTAAAGTAGCAATTGTCTTAGAAGTGGTCGTCCCTTCTCTATGCGTACTTAGGTGTTCTCTTCATAACCATATCGCAGTTTGGCACGTAAAGTAAGAGACCTTCATTTTTTACTTGCATACGTAGAAACACGTGTGCCTTATGTCGAGCCATTTCCATTCTTGTTTCACCTGTGTCACGCTGTTACATTATGTCAAACATATTTTCGAGAGAAAGTACTGGAGTATGGTTATAATTTGATCCTATTACTCGGATGACTTCAAAACATAAGTGATATGATTGAGTCAATAGGTTACCGTCACGAGGCGTGTCGTATGTCCAAGAACGGGAATCGCTTACGCACTATTAGGGGTGTTGGAGAAAATTTGGGGGGGGGGGGAGCACCACATTTATCCGAAAGGGGAGGGGGGGGCTGGCAAAGCTCATTTTGTGCTACTCTTCTCGAGTTCATTTGCGCTATGCATGATAAGGGGAGAACTTTTTTTTGGGGGGTGGGGGGGTGCACGGGTTTGATGTGCCACCACCTGGCTATACGCCACTCTTCACTTTCGTACTATTGCTTCCTGGTCACGTCGCCAAATGTGGTGCGCCGGGTCGAGTTGGACCTTAGAGCATTTACTACATACAGTGTTCACAAGCCAGCCTGTCTCTGGTTGTCGTCGCATAATATAACTTCACAAGTAGTGGCATATGCACTATAACACTATGAATAAGAATCTCGCGTATCGTGCGTGAGAGCCAACGTCCTTTTTTATGCATTTGAAACAGACACATAGTTGTTAATTGAAGTGTTAACTTCTAGGCCGCATATGAACACAAATGGTGCAGACAAACTAACACAAAAACATTTCTAGAAGCATTGCCCGATAGTACATGGCTGTGTTTCATGTTTGTTGTAGCAGAGACGGCGCTGATTTCATGTCGAAGATGATTTGTACGTCACTGTGGCGACTAGCTGATGGAGACATGGCAATATTCGAATACGCGTCGATTACGAGTACAAACTGAATGATATTCTCTAATGCTTATCTAATTATGTCATTTCTGTTATTAGAACTACTTCGACTGATTTTGTATCGCATCCGCTGAGTCACGACTTTCGTCAAAAACGCCTTTTGGCTAGCACCTAGCACCTTGAAGCTCCATACCCTCTATGTTTGTCACTTATCCAGCATGAATAATAATAATAATATTGATTTGATATGTGGGGTTTAACGTCCCAAAACCACCATATGATTATGAGAGACGCCGTAGTGGAGGGCTCCGGAAATTTCGACCACCTGGGGTTCTTTAACATGCACCCAAATCTGAGCACACGTGGCCTACAACATTTCCGCCTCCATCGAAAATGCAGCCGCCGCAGCCGGGATTTGAACCCGCGACCTGCGGTCAGCAGCCGAGTACCTTAGCCACTAGACCACCGCGGCGGGGCAATAATAATAAAATAATAATAATATAATAAATATAATAATAATAATAATAATAAATTAATAATAATAATAATAATATAAATAATAATAATAATATAATAGTAATAATAATAATAATAAAAAATAATAATATAATAATAATAATAATAATAATCATTAAATAATAATAATAATAATATAATAATATAATAATAATAATAATAATACTAATAATAATCATAATAAGAGATCTTATGTCCCAAAAGCATGATGTGACTATTAGAGACGCCATAGCGAAGAGATGCGAGAATTTCGCCATCTGTTGTTCCGTTACGCGCGCTGAATCGCACAGTACAGGTTGCCCCTGCCATTTCGCTTAAACAAAATGCGACCGTCGCGGCCCCGGATTTGACCCGTGACTTCGGGTCAGCAGCCGGAGCAGCTTGAGCACTGCTCCCCGTGGCGGACTGTGAGTCACTTTATCCTCACTTGGCCTAATTCACCCGTGTCCCAAGGATATTTCCTACCTCGTAGACTTTATTCGTTCGTTATTGGGCTTCCAGCGCAATGTGGTATATTGGTATATACACATGGTTTAGGAATACCAAGTTACCAGATTTAATAAGGAATTATAACGGAAAAATTATATATAAAAAGATTGTTATATCAAAAAAGATTATTATAATATAAGATTATATATATAGGAAACAAAAACGTGTTCACCAACATGTTTTTGTTTCCTTTGGTCTAGTGCACTTGAGGAAAAAGTGTGTTAAAAATGCCACGCGTTTCGTACTAGGCAGTTTCCCTGACTTCACGCCAGTGGAGAAAGAAAACACACTGTGTTTCTGCAGTAACCATTCCGAGCTTGTTTAGGTCATGACGGCCTCGCTAGCTGGAAACAGCCATCGCGCCTATTACGTGTACGACTGTGGTGTCTCTGGTCTAGCGCTAAGAAGTTTGCGGGTAGGCTAAAGCTCTCTTGACCCAATGGTTGACGGCGCGTGCGTGTGCTCACCTTCCACCACCAGTGGTGCTTGATCTGGGTGAACTTGCTCTCCCTGTAGTGGCCGTACTGGTCGGGATATTCAGCGTTGTTACACTTTATCTTACGAGCCCTGTGAGAAAGGAAACATGGGGCACTTGGGAACTACAAGACAGAAAAGTACCATTCGACTATCAAGCAAACAAAGGGGGAGGGGGCACTTAATTCTCTTACGACAACTGCGGAACTTCTCGTGAACTATACATCTCCCTGGGCACAAAAGGAAAGAAAGAAATGCATGGACGGAGTACAAAAGGACACGCCAAATACTCTTCTACTCCGGCGTACTTGGTGTCCATCCTGACTCCATCCGGATCATCTTTTGAAGAGCTGGGCTGTTTAAAGGCGATGCAAATCCCTGTGGATTCATCATCCGCATTTCAAGCCCCACAGCGAGATCGAGGCATCTCGAGATGGAGAGAATTCGTAAAGCTAAAAAGGTGACAAAGAGCCTACAGTAGCGAGTTGAAACTGGTAGAGAAAGGGTAACAACGTGAAGATGGCGAAGATGGGTAGAAAGAAAGAGCAAAAGTTAAGCTTTGGCCGGAACGAAGCAGATGGTGTGGAGAGAAAAAGAGTATGAGCGTTTGATATGGAAGAGCGATGGCTTGGAAGGAAAGTAAGACTACTTAGAAGCATCCATTCAAGCCTCTGCTCTTTTATGTCAAATGTCAAACCAACTAGCCCAACTATTCCAAATTTTGAAGCACGAGTATGAACTCCCTTCTCTTCTCCACACCTTGCATTCATTCTGGATTGTTCAGTGATGGCCAAGGACTACAAAGACCCCGGATTAAGAAGCCACCAAACTTCATGCAATGAGAAGGGGGTGACTGACGGTAAAGCAATGTAAAACCAGGTGCAGCAAGCTTAAGCCACCAGCCTCGCTGTTTAAGCAGTCGTCGTAAAAGGGATTGACTTTTTTTGTGCTGTAGATTTATTACAATGTGATTTAAAAGAAAATAGGACAGTTCACTACGCCTTACATTTAACGGAGCATGGTAAATGCAAGCTTATAAACGCGCTTTATTTGACGGCAGCAATGTAAATGTGGGCAGCCATTATTAGTCGAGATTTAGCTGACACTATTCATTCCAGGTATTCTACGAGTAAATACGGTCGACCTCACACAACAGTCTTCAGACAAGCTCATTATCTTGTATTTTATTATAAGATAGCTTTAAGGTCCTCGCAAGCGCCTTATCTCAGCTTTGACCAAGAATTTTTTTGTTGTTTACTAAGGCGCGGCCTAAAAAAGTTCTGGTTACTCCTTCTATGAGGTTCCTTCTCTTAAAGTTAGATATTCCATTCCTTATTGCGTTCAAGAATGCACGCATTCAATGTCATGTTTTCCTATTTGAAATGGCTACAAAAAAGAGAGAGATAGAAAGGCTACAGTCTTGATACACGAAAGTGGGACGCCAATCGGCTTTTACGTTGTTTGAACAAAATACAAAATAGTGTAAAGCAATATGAATGCGACAAACTTTATGCTGCCGTGGAAGTTTCTTACTGTTCGTAATGAATGTTCCTCGGGCAGTCGTTCGGGTGGACACCCGGAAACTCGTTGGGATAAAGTTGAGTGGAGTAGGGGAAAAATATCTGCATCACCTGCAAAGAGAAAACAAATGAAACCAACACTACGAAATGTCGCATTTCTCAGTTGTTGCTTTCTTTTTCGTCTGTAAGCTGGGCCATATATATATTTCTAGACTTACATTGACGCAAGCCTATGCCTCTTGGCTATTTTTTATGTGTGTTTGTGTGGAAGTTCGTGAGAGGGATATAAATAACGCGCTTGACTGGGTGTAAAAGAGTCGTGTAAAAGAATAACTACATAAGAATCTGACATGGAAGCGTAAAAAGTCAACCACCATTATTTCCTGAGTGATTTAGTTAATTAAAGTTTAATAATTTCACAGTTATACCACCGTTTCCCTCAGACGCGTTGGTTCTGACACTTCAATACCGGAATGAAGGTTCAAACCTTCTCTAGTAGACCTCCATCATTTCTGAATTCCCTACCACCACGAGCACACCACCATGACATCGGCTCGGCGAACAAGTTGAAAGAATTTATATTACATTTAGTAGCGCTGCCGATGGCTACACAGTTAGGCGGCAAATAGTTTCCCGAAATTGGCTACATGTTATGGTAGTTGAATTCGGTCAAATAATTGCTAATGCGTAGTAATTACTGGGCAGCCTGTATGTAGCATAAGGGGTGTTGTTAAAACATGATTGATAGTGCATATCACCTGTAACGACAAGACAGCACAGGAAAGATGGCGCATAGCCCTGAGCATACAACTCATTTCTTCGGAAAGCCTTCGACTTTTGTACATATTTACGCACAGTTGCAACAGCCATGCCAAATGTCACCCATACGGGTTAGTGCTCAAACCATAGGTTGAGGGAAGATGTCAGTAATGTTGATCGCTGACAACAATGGTGGCACTCTGCTCATTGAGGCACTTGTAGGTTTACGCCAAGATTTTAAGATTGTAGTACTGTCGCAAAATGCTCAGACCACACCACACGCGAACTCACCGAGGTCGAAAAGACCGTTTCCTAAAACTTGTTTTCTAAGTAACCCCTCTGTCACACCCACTGATAATGACAAAATGCACCTATGTTTCTCCACGTGAGGAATTCTTGTAACATCATTGTGCTCCACGTACGGCTGTTGCAACGGTGTGTGACCATATAAAAAAGAAGAGTATTTCCAAACAAATTAATTGTGCGAATTTCAGCATTCTCTCTCCTCTCTTCAGTCCCCTTTCATCGTTTGCGCCAATATACACTTTTATTTGCTCTGATGTCACGTGCCAATACCAGGATATCATTATGAGGCGCGCCATGATGGGAGTCGATATTGGATAGATTTCCACAAGCTGGTTCTCTTTAAAATGTATCTACATGTAAGCACTGGAAGTTTTTTTATCATTGCTACGGTTCAGTGTCCGAAAACCCCGATATGATTGCGAGAGACACCGCAGTGGAAGACTGTGGAAGCTTAGACTGCCTGAGGTTCCTTAACATGCTACTAAAATCTGAGCACTCGGGCTTCAAGCATTCTCGTCTCTTTCGAAAATGCCTCCGCCGCGGCCAGAATTCGGTCAAGGTGTTCTTCATATTACGTCCCCATGTGAATGCGGCCTCCGGTACCGGCAATCAAACCCACGCACTATTAGGAGCTCAGCAGTGCTTCAACTTTCCTACTAAGCTGCCAAAACAAATTTAGTAGACAAGGTAGACCACCTCAGAAATGGGCGCCGGCTGGTGGTCTAGTTATGGTACTCGACTGCGCATCTGAAGGTCACGGGATCGAATCCCAGCCGTGGCGGCTGCATTCCAATGGAGGCGAAATAAATGGTGGAGGCCCGTGTGTCTAGATTTAAGTACACGTCCAAAAGCCCCATGTTATTGCGATTTCTGGAGCCCTCCACTACGGTGTCCGTCGTAATCATGTAATGGCTTTGGATCGTGAAACCCCTAAATTCACTACATTTTCATAAAATGCACCCAAGAGACTAAAATAGGTGCTGTCATAAAAAAAGAAAGACTGTAAAGATCATCTCATCACAGTCGATTTTTTTAAATACCTGCCAAGTATGCCTTCTTTATGAATTCTCAGATATGGCACAACTATTCACACCTCACGTGAAGTTGGTAAAAACCATAGGGTTTCTCAAAATTAACTAGAGGGCACTCTGGCGCTGCGATCGTTCATCGACCATGGAAATGATGGTTAGTACACACATTTGCCTAGTCTTTGTACTTGCGGGCAGCGAATCGTACTTGCCGCTTCGTTTATTGCTGTGTTTCGATTTTGTTTTGAAAGAAAGATTCAACCCTTTTGAACTTCGTGACCCAATTTAGAAAGGTAATTCGAAAAAAAATAGGGTGGTGAAGCGCAATCGCTGAACATTTGCTGATTTTCGTTTCGTGAGAAAACACCTTCAAGCCACACGAACACACACGGAGCCAAAAGCAGGCCAGAAGTACGAAGTTTAGACAAATGTGTGTACTACCCAGCATTCTCATGCTCACTGAAGCACCGTGCGTTGCAGCTCCCATAGACACTAGCGCCAGAGTTCCCTCTAGTGTATATTAGGAAACTCTATGGTTAAAACAAGGTTTGACTGTACGTGCTTATGGGTGAACTTATACATTGTGGTGGAGTTAATAATGCGATGCGAAAGATTACGTCACGACCAGGTGAGGTACACGTACCCTGCAGAAGGTGACATTCTCGGGCAGCTCGAGCATGTGCGCATCGTAGTAGTCGTGGCTGAACACGATCAACGCTCGCTCGATGCCGCGCACTGCGGACAGGCTTTGCAGCAGGTACTGCAGGTAGCGCCACCTGTTGTGCACCTGCACAACTATCACCGGATCCGAGGGCTCCAGGGTGGCGCCAAACTTCTCCTCGTGGTGCACCTGCTGTACTCCCAACCAATCAATCAATCAATCAATCAGTTGAATCACGTACATTTGTGTATAATCGATTCAGTACAGTCGGTCTATCGCTGAGTACCAAACCAGTCGTATTATGAACAGGACGTTCTGGGTTCTTTAATTTTAACAGCAGGGTGCGTAACATGCTGGCCTGTTCATTCTACTTGGTTTGAAATCTCGCTCCGCAGTGCCCAGCGTAACAATCAGCTCCCTAATTAAATAAATGAAGAAAACTTGAGAAACTGTTTTTTTTTCGGAAATCGGCCATGACTTTTCGCATTTTCGCGTGCCTGCCTTCGTAGTACACTCCAGGAGCCAATACTTGTCAAAAGCGGGGGTTTCATTCAAACCACTCAGCATGGGGGTCTATGGCCGAAAGTATAGACCCTTCCGGAGCCCTCCACTACGGCGTCTCTCATAATCATATAGTGGTTTTGGGACGTTAAACCCCACATATTAATCATATCAAATCAATCAAAAGTATAGACCCACTTTGTGTACATAAAATATCTGCTTGGTAGACGCCGACTAAATCCACCTGTACGGACGCAACGTTTGTTACCGCATTGAAGCTGCAAGGTGCTTTGAAAAAAATTGAAATAGACTGTGACGCTAACTACTGGGGCATTATACATCATGTGCTGCATAATCAGTGCGGCAGTGCTAGCACACCACAGGTGGCCGCTTACCTGCCTCTTGTTGAGGTTGAACGCGAAAATCCGCAAATCTTCCACGTTCGCAAGAGCGACTGGCGGTTCCGTCACCGTATCGGGAGACAGCTGCGTAAACGAGCGATGACAGTCAGATTTGGCATAGGTGTTGCGCTTTCTTTCAATTGCGTATTTATTTATTTATCTATTTATTTATTTATTTATTATTTATTTATTTATTTATTTATTTATTTATTTATACAAATATTTAAACATTCTGCAATAGCCTCTGTTGATTTTGCCAGGCTGGCACACAAAATTAATTTTTGAAGATGGGTAATCACATGGACGTATCATACATATATAGTTATACAATATACACAGAAGATACAAACTCGCACGTGCCACACATCAATGCACATGCAAACGTGTACAGAGATTTGAGTGCAACACTATTAAACTGATAAGTGCGACTTCTACAGAGCTGTAAACTGCCGAGCTTTAAAGCTGTTTTAATATTTACCACTTCGGAGTTATCAGAGCGTGTTCAAACCATTACATGTGTTTGCCTTCACCGACTTTAAAAACTACCGGTCCTGGTTGCCTGCTGCAAAGCGCCTTCGAATGCATGCGGAGCGCTCTTGCTCACGATCACGACAACTGCTTGCTCTTATAGAATTACACGTAGCTGTGCTAGTCGGTTCATGTTCAATGATTAAGCCACAGAAAGTATGACTGTTCAGCGCAAAGAAAGTGCGAGACAGGGGGTACAAGGGAACTCACCACGAATCCTTCCCTACATACTTCGTTTTGTTCGAAACAGCCATATTGTCGGTGGCTTACTCACTGTAATCGCTCTGCATGCATTCCCGGAGTAGCACCCCCCGTAGTTACCGGTGTAGTTACGTTGCGTTGCCCATGGTCGCTGAAGGAATATAGCAGGAGCACGACGCAGCAGAGGGAACCGGTGACCAAGAACGGCCGTTGAAGTAGACCCAGGCGCAGAAGGCTCCTCCTGAGATACCACATCGCTTGATTGATTGACGTCGCTTTTCCGTCACAGTCCGACGTTTTCTGCTTCTTTTTTTCTCGGTAAATGGAGCCGAGCTCGAAGCACGCGTCTTCGCCTAGGACGATCTTCTTCTTCTTTCTTGCTTGCTTGCTTGCTTGCTCGCATAAGCGTCGACTCTTCGCTCTTCTCAGTCGATATCAATGGCATTGACTAAGAAAACAGGAACAACATATCTTCCATCTAAGAGACATATTTGGCAAATGAATCAGGAACCAAGCGGCTTTTTTTTTAACTTGTTTAGCGAGCTTTTTATGCTGGAGCCTTGTCCGGTGGCGGCGGCGTGCACACTTCTCCGGTGGTTTCAGAAATGCTCACTGGATGGCACGCCGCCGCTGAAGGCGTTGGCTTTCCGGTGATTTAAAGAATTCTCACTAGATGGCGTGCTGCCGCTCAAAGCTGCGCACACCACTCTCGGCACGTGTGCTTCCTTTCTCTTTGCCGGGAGCTCACGCAGTGAAGTTGTGTCGAGACTTGTCGCTGGCTTGAAGAGGCAGTGTTTTCCGGAGTGATTAAGCCCCGAAGTTGACAATATGGGCTCATGTATTTTAGACGGAGTGTCGAACTACTGTCCCGCGAACATCTGGCCGTGAAGCAACTACTTTCCAACAACGAGTGGTTAGCACTGCGATGATATCGATTCGTGACTGATATCTTGGTTATGAAGTGAGCTTGGTTGTCTAATTAACAAAAATTGATCACTCCGTGCTGCATCTTAGAGTGTTCCTCATGTGTCAAAACATATTTATTCTTACTTGGAGAACTAAATAGAAAAAGCAACAGAAAGAAGCAAAAATTTTCGCCAATACTTCGCACCAGATATTTATAGCACTTTTTTCTAAAATTTTCTTACTCCGAAAGTATAGAATAAGGTAAATGCGTTTAGCGTACTGTTGATTTTTCATTTGAAGGCATCATAAACATTTGAAGGCATCATAAAGCACTGCGGCCGGTGTCTAGTTGCTGCTGCACTTTAGGTGTTCATCATCATTGCTAGGAGCTCCGTGAGAAAGAAAAGCAAGGTCAATTTAAACACGGAGTAAGAGGCACTGAACGTGGATGGGCGCCACCTCCAACAAAGCTTTTATTGTGCGTGCACAAATATATAGCTTATGAAAAGTGAGGATGGTGAGGGTTATCAACGAAGATATTTTTTTCCAATTGTACGTGGTACTGATAATAAAAGCAGAAGGGTGGATCATTAAAATTCCTGTAGGAGGAGCATTTATTGTCTGAAAGGGAAATTGACGTGCCGCTGGCACACGTCGAGCCTTGGCGCATCATTGCGAAAGTCTCGCGAGGGAACGTCACAGGCATAGTGCGACATAAGCTGCCGCGAAGACGAGTCCCAGAACACGGTCCAGAGCTCTGGCCGCCGTGTACCACTCGCGGGCCACGGCGTTGTTGTACGACTTGTTCTGAACCCCTTCTTCGTCGTCCCCGATGCCCGATCGGCCCGCTGGACAAGGACAGGGCAGCCGGTGGGCCACGAACTCCGATGACTTGACCAGGAACGCGGGAAGCGCGCAGGACGGTGCACTCCGGGCCATGTTTGTGCTCAAGACAGTGGTGGCCGCGATGAGGGCGTTCATCAATACCCCACCTCCAAGAACTTTCACTGCAAAGCGCGGGGGAAGAAAACAAAAAGGCTCTCGATGTTGTCATAACTTGGGAACGCGCCTAGACTACCTGTACTGGATCTGCTGTTGCTACAGAACTGAATGCAGGAACAGCGCAACCTATAAGTAGTTACTTCGTAACTACGGAAGCGAAAAAAAACTAGGACAGAAAAGAGCGCTGTAGTTTCGCTTCCGTAGTTACGAAGTAACTACTTCTAGGTTGCGCTGTTCCTGCATTCAGTTATGTCCTACCAACTTGCCCAAGCTTCCACGCTGTTGCTACGCTAGAGCGTGTCGTGCTACGCAAACACCATTATCACATTATCAGAGAAAATAGGGATGATGTTTTATTCCAAGGTGATATGCGTTGTCCACACTTGGTTAAGCCAAGAGCGTTAGATGACTTCTTGCTATGCTTTCAGATCTATTACAGCTTTAAAGTGTGAATAAATGTGGCGAATTCGCCGCATTACACTTTATTTCGCCTAAGACAATTGCGTAGAAGCTGAATGTATAGATGGCTAGGTTCTTTATCAGAATTTACAGCCGTGGTTCTCAAATGGGGGTTCGCAAGCCTCAGAGAGTTCGCGATACCATTTTAAGGGTGCACGAAACCCATCCTAACAGAAAAAAGTAACGTGATTTTTGCAAGCACGCTATTTGCCGTGACAGTGGTCCCTTCTGCTATTTAGTATGCTTCACTGTACAAGAAAATTGCAATGCAGTGGAGCTTACAAGTTCCCCTTTGGCATGAGATGGCTGTGACGCTATTGTTGCAGAGTTGTACGACACACAAACACGTGAGAATGCTTCTTGTAGGCTAACATTTTTGAAAAGCAGACGCATCTAGTAACAGGTTGAATATGACTGTAGACAACCCGACCTATTGACAAGCTGTTTAGATTGAATTGGCGTGACCATTCAGTTCAACGTATATTTTTGAGCGAGAAACGAAAATACACCTCTGTTAGGCTGCATGTTCCATCACTAACTGAACCCCCCTCTCCTCGCTACAGCATCTCTCATAATCTATCAGGGTTGTGGGACGTTAACCCAAGCAATTATTACTAGAACTATTGAACTGAGTCTTACGGAACAATATTTGGCTGAATATGGCAGAGCCCAAGTCCAAGCGAAAACCAAGCCTACAAAAGTATAGCGATGCGTTTGACTTCGAGTGATCACTAAGCAAAACTATATTTACCGAGTGATTCTGAGTAAGCTTCCTGTGCCTAATATATATTCAGAACTGGCGTTTGCCTGTTCTGCGCATTTCTTTCTCGAGTTTCTAGCCTCGTGCTAATAAGTTTGCATGTATTTTACCATGTGTAATTTAAACGCTCTACTCACCGATCTTGGGCACGCTGCTCGATCTCGAGACGATGTTGTCCACTCTGTATAGCAAAAGTAGTGACGTCAGCAGGGAGGCTCCAATGAGAGTGATCTTCCGTTCCGACTCAGGCGGAAGCCAGAAGACAAGCAGTGAGAGCAAGACCACGGCGACGGTGGGCAACAGGACCGTGAACAGGTGCAAGGACGTGCGCCTCTGGAGCAGCACGTGGAACGAGATCTCGGGGTACTCGAACTCGCCCATGTTGAAACTCAGCAGAGTCCTGCCGACCGGGCAGTGCGGTAAGTTTCCGGGATGTCTCAAGTTTCTACGACGGTCACACAGATTAGTGCCGCCCTTTCAAGTAGTGCTTAAAAGGGTGCTGGCGCATAATTACGTGGGCTATGATATAGCATGCGGGATCGTATCCTGTGAACATGCATATATTATCTGTTAAAAAAACTGTTCTACAGCTTCATAGGAGCTGTAGAACTCTCGTGTTCTACAGCTTCTATGAAGTCCCCGTTGCTGCTTTATGATTATCGAGCCGCCTAATTAGGATGATATCGTTATGAAGCAATACAAACACGGAATAGTGCAGTACCCTCTAGAATGATCAAGATGAAGTGTGCGGAAAGCGCTTGCACGTGCTACTTTTTAGCCATCTTATTTTTCTTACATGTAAATACAAGCTCCACCTTCTCGCAGACGTCACAACATTACAAACATTTCGTTTCAAAGCGAAGCTTTATGTGACTATGTGAATGGAAAATTCGGTCATCCTACGTGCGCAAATACTATCAACATAGTGAATGGGGATGTGCCAGACAAGTAAGGCAAACCTCACTTCTACCCGTTGGTCTGCTAAAAAATAAATAGGGTGGCACATGGGTGGCGAAGGCCAATTATGATTTCTAAAGAAATGTCAACAGCTGTTGAGAAAGACTAATAAACCGTTGGTACTAACCGAGTGATAAACGCCAGGTCCCTACGTTTCAGCCTCGCTGCTTCGTTGTGCGTGGAGTACCTGAGAGCTGATTTTTAGGCAATGAATTAAATGGTTTTACTAGCCATGTAAAGATCAAGAAATTGTGAAGCAGGTTTATCTTAGGAATTTAACGTGTCCTTAGTGCCTGACGCTAGGTCTTTCCTCGGCGTGTAAATACAGAGCAGAGTCGAAACACAGATATTGCATACGATACAAGGACACCCAAACTTCAGCGCCGGAAGTAACGTGCAAAACTCGCTGTGGCCCCACAGGTGAAATCATGGGTGTTTCTTCACGTGTACTCGGCACGAGTGCTGCGCCAACTGTCTCTGTCAGTGGGTGTGGCGGATCAGCAATGAAGTGGTGTTTTTAAAGACGATAGTTTTTCTTGGGGACCTTCGACGCAAAAATTTCTGTCTGTCTGTCTGTCTGTCTGTCTGTCTGTCTGTCTGTCTGTCTGTCCGTCCGTCCGTCCGTCCGTCCGTCCGTCCGTCCGTCCGTCCGTCCATTCATCTATCTGTCTGTCTGTCTGTCTGTCTGTCTGTCCATTTGTCTGTTTGTCCGACCTTAATGGTACTCTAAACGGCACCAAAGGGTCCAAACGATACTCCAAACGGCCGACCCCATCCGCAGCGCCCACAAATATTGCCAAAGGTTCAGCGTTCATACTTTTATGATTGTCAATTAAAAGCATTATTGTGCATATCTGAGGCACCCTAACAACACGTCAATATTATGTATATGTGTATATTTACTGGAAAAGGCATACATAAGTAATTCCAAGAACCGTAGCGTATATCACGCTGCACTGACCATGCGACGCTTGCACGAAAAATCAAGTGTTTCCAACGCTTTGCTAAAACGACACGGTGGTGGCACCTACCCGTCGCCTTTAGTTATACACCTTATCACCTCAGAGACGGGCGCGCATGCCGCGCGCTTCATTTTCCAGGATAACTGGCAGATAGCGCTCATGTCTCACGTGTGACGTGACTTGATGCGCTCGTTCGCCTCTGCTACATGCTCGAGGCACTCTCACGCAGCGCTTTTAAAATACCATTGATAGATTTTCTCGGGCCGAACATCAAATAAACGTTTTGTTCACTCTCTCCAGACACAAGACTATCGTCTTTCGACGACATTCGCAGTGTAACATGCAGATACGGGGCCAAATTTTTTCTTGTTTGCGGACACCCAATTTTTAACCTCAAGCTTTAAGACATTCGCTATTGAAGTATAAACAGGTGCATTCCTGGCATGTGCTCACCTCTTGCCTTCTATGGAGAGAACCGCGAATTCTGAGTGTTCCTGTTCGGGAAGGGTAGGCTGGCCTACCAACGTGAGATTGACACTCTTCTCTTGAGAAATTGCGTTTGTGAAGGCCATCCTGCACTCGTGTCGGTCGAACGGAAAGTCACTTATGTCCGTCTGGAGCAATTTCGTTCGAAAAAAAGAAACAAAAGCAAAAGTTATGACCAGATTATTTATTGTAGGACAAAACAAACTACCACCACTGAGCTTCAGCCGAACCCTTGGCATCATCCTGGATAATTTTAGTTTTTATTTCAATTTAACTACTCAGAAGTGATTTCGTTGTAAGAAATATCGCTGTGGTGCCGCAAAAGCACTAATGTGACGCAAGTAATTGAACTAATTGATTATTGATATGTGTGGTTTAACGTCCCAAAACCACCATATGATTATGAGAGACGCGGTAGTGGAGTACTCCGGAAATTTCAACCATCTGGGGTTCTTTAACGTGCACCTAAATCTGACTACACAAGCCTACAGCACTTTCACCTCCATCGAAAATTCAGCTGCCACAGCCGGGCTTCAACCCCGCGACCAGCGGGTCAGCAGCCGAGTACCTTAGCCCATAGAACACTGCAGGCGGGCCCAATTTAACTACGTCCAACTTCGTTTGCCAGCACATAGTGTGGTGGTCAACCTCTACAGAACGCAGTTTAGATTAGTAATGTGGAATTCAATTTGATAACTGAACCTGTTCTTTTTTCAAGGAGCCAACGTAGCCATGTGACGCTTTTTTTAAGCTTTCCAGAAGTTCGTCTCTATAAAGAATGCAGTTTTGTACAATCTGGGTATCCAAATTGAAACAAGGTCGTCTTTGTCTTCCGCGATACCTAGCAGGCCATAACTTCAGTGCAATATATACTTGAAAATAAGAAATCGTTCAGCTAGAACTTCAGTGCAGCCAAAGCTGCAACAGCGTCACTTCGCCTTGGTCAAATGAACACCACTAAAAAGAAAAAAAAAACTGCGACGAAGTCTGCCGCACAGGAATGCCTTTGTAAAAACAATCGCTTCGGCAACGTTCTACGTACGACGAGTTTCCAGCATTCCTTCAAGGGCGGATTATTGAGAACTGGCGGAAGATTGCTTCTTTTACCAGTAAGACAATCTGGCCGGCGTTTGTTTCTGTGGTCGTATGATATTACGAATGACAAACAAGAGAGGATACAATATGCCAAAAGAACGGAGACACATCATTGGTCATCCCTCTTTTGGAGGTCGTGGTTCTTATCAGCACTTGAATAAGGTGGCTAGAATATGAAGGTGCCTGCCTCACCTCGCATAT